CTGCGAAAATGCAACCCACGCTCCAGATGTCCACTGGCGTGGAGTACCTGCGGACTCCCGGTGGGGAAGACGACGTGGGGCACGAAGGACATCACGGTTTCATCCGCTTCATCCGCCTCCCTCCTCCTCCTCCACCCCCTCATCCTCCGACTCTTCCTCCTCCTCCTCCTCTTCCTCCTCTTCTCCATCATCATCACCATCACCATCAGCATCATCATCACCATCATCACCATGATCACCATCATCAGCATCGTCATCATAATCATCATCACCACCACCACCACCACCATCATCATCATCATCATCATCATCATCATCATCATCATCATCATCATCACCATCATAATCATCATCGTCATCATCATAACCATCATCCGCAACATCATCATCATCTTCCTTCTGAACATGTTTGCCTCATCATCCTCTTCCTCCTATTCCCCCTCCGCTCGCTATTATTATTGTTCATAGTATTATTGTTATTATTATTATCATCGTCATCATCATCATCAGCATCATCATTATCACCATTATTATTGTCATTATGACTAATAATAGTGTTAGTAATATTCTTATTACTACTATTATCATTACTAGTTATACTCGTAGTAATCTTCCTCATGGTATGAATCCGCTGGCCCCTTTGCGGGGCCATCAGGCTGCGAGGATTAAGGTTGCTGTTCCCTGCACCAGTTCCAATTTCCAGTTCCATTGTTACAATACTGATTATGTTTCCTACTGTAAATTGTTACTGTCCGCGCGAGGGGGGGTGGCCGAAAAGGGCCCTGGTTAGCCCTTGGGATATGTGCTCCGCTGGTATCATTTTGCCCCCCACCCACCCCCGTTTCTGGAAAATCCGGCGGCGGGTTCCACATTAACCCCCCCAGGCCACGATCCCTTGCAAGTTACGCCACACTTGCGCCCCCGAGGCCACGATCCCGCGCGAATTATACCACACTCGCGCCCCCGAAGCCACGATCCCTTGTAAATTACGCCGCTGTCGCGCCCCCCAGGCCATGATCCCTTGTAAATTACGAAACATGTGCGTCGATCCCCCGCAAATTATACCAAGTTCGCGCGCACCCCCCACGCTACGAATCCACCTCGCGGAAGCTGCCCAAAGGCGCCATTCCTTCTCCAGATCAGAAAAAAAATACCTTCCCAGAAACTGCCTGAAGCAATCCCCAGCTGTTCCCAGAGCGCTTCCAGTGAACAACTGGAGGAAAATGCTAAGGAGGTAACAAAGCGTTCAACAACAATTTCAACATCTCAATCTGTTTTGCTCATCGCCTGCCGGTTCCCGAATATCATCAAGACGGCGCCCGAACATCCCAATATAGCTCTGATGTATCCCATTATGATAGACAGGGGGCCAGCGGCAGGGGCCGAAGCCCTTACGGATATTCCTGTGTTGATCATATTATCAATACTAATACGGTAGTAGTAGTAGTAGTAGTAGTAGTAGTAGTAGAAGTAGTAGAAGTAGTAGTAGTAGTAGTAGTAGTAGTGGTGGTGGTGGTGGTAGTAGTAGTAATAGTGGTCGTTGTAGTAGTAGTAGTAGTAGTAGTAGTAGTAGTAGTAGTAGTAGTAGTAGTAGTAGTCGTTGTAGTAGTAGTAGTAGTAGTAGTAGCAGCAGTAGTAGTAGTAGTGGTAGTAGTGGTAGTAGTAGTAGTAGTAGTAGTGGTGGTAGTAGTAGTAGTAGTAGTAGTAGTAGAAGTAGTAGTAGTAGTAGTAGTAGAAGTAGTAGAAGTAGTAGTAGTAGTAGCAGCAGCAGCAGCAGCAACAGCAGTAGTAGTAGTAGCAGCAGCAGCAGCAGCAGTAGTAGTAGTAGTAGTAGTAGTAGTAGTAGTAGTAGTAGTAGTAGTAGTAGTAGTAGTAGTAGTAGTAATAGTAGTAGTAGTAGTAGTCGTAGTAGCAGTAGCAGTAGTAGTAGTAGTCATAGAAGTGGGAGTAGTAGCAGTAGTAGTAGTAGTAGTATTGGAATGCTCCTTACGATTAGTTTGTTTCTTCGTCTAAATAGTATCCTGATTCTTACTCATTTTTAGTATTATATAATTGTCTTCGTCTTCGCATTTCCCCACTGATAGCTTGCCTGTGTAGGGTACGTAGCAAATTCTCATGGTTAGGTGAGGTCCATCGCCAAATTCGGTGGCCGGCCCGGGTGCCAGGGTGACCAGGCGCCAGGGGGTGCCCCGAGGTGCTCGGGGATGCCCAGAGGTGCCCAGGGGTGCCCGGGTGCCCGGTAGCCCTATGGCCCTATAGCCGTACAGCCTTATGGCTTATAGCCCTATAGCCCTATAACCCTATAGCTCTATAGCCCTACAAACCTATGGCAACAATAGCCCTATAGCCCGATAGCCCGATAGCCCTATAGCCCTATAGCCCTATAGTCCGATCGCCTTATGGCCCTATGGCTTTATAGCCTTATATCATTATAACCATATCGCCGTATAGCCCGATCGCCATATAGTCCTATAGCCCTAGGCCCGATAGCCCTATAGCC